AAATGAATAATAATAAAAATATATATTCTGAATTTATGTCCTGCAATACCCAAATAAAATATAAATTTTAGGTCAAGGATGTGCTTTCTACTCTTTCCATTACTACTAATAATAAAAATAACGCAGGTGTGATATATCATCTATGTGTATTTTTTACCCCAGGAACCGATGTTCATGTCCTCCACTTAGCAGCTTTTAAAATGTCAATACGGTTTTACCTAATACAAGGGATCTGCATTTAAAGTGAACCTGTGAAGAAATAAAAAAAATGGCAGCTGCCAATGCAGATTTCATTTTTAAAGACGCAGAGTCCAGGGCCGGCATCGTGATTCCGTCTTCACTATGTTGTTAGTCATTGACAAGGAATAAGCATGCAGCCAGTGAGGTCTGAAAAGTATAAACTCCCATGCTGCATGCTTGGCTTGTCATTGAGTTTTTAGACCAGGGGTAGGCAAGTGTGGCACTCCGGTGGTGGTGAAACTACAAATGCCATTATTCCTTTGGAAGTCGTGCCTGTGGCTATCATGCCTCATGGGACTTGTAGTCCCATCACAACTGGAGTGCCGAGGTTGCCCACACCTGGAAGCCTGCAGCTTTAAAAAAAACAAGCCGGCTATGACACCTTATACATTCCCTTTACATACTATAAATAATAATTCTGTATTGTATTGTTAGGTGCTGTGCAGACTGTGGGCACTATAGAAATCCTGAATAATAATTATTATTATTATTCACCAACAACACATTCTGATTCCACATCCGATACATCTATTGCTAACGTGCTGTTTCTTTAACGCGGTTAAAAAAACAAAATGCAAAACGCAGTGACCAATCAAGAATCATTTTTCATCACCACTGCTCAGATTTGCCAAAAGCTGAGAGCTGATTGGCTGATGCAAACCTCTGCTGCTCTTCCTGAGTTCTTTAATCAGCCTGGTAACATGCAGGAAACAAAATGAATTCTAGGGAAGGAAGCTGTGATAAATTTCCGCCGTCTAGTGTCGAAAAAGGTGCAACCAGGTCACGCCTGGCTCCGCTTTGGCGTGGTGGGCTCCGCAGGCCGGAGTTGTGCCGGATCGGCCGGCGTGTTTACCAAATAGCTTGCAAAACAGCTCCATGCACTCTTTACAGTAGACACAATCCTCTGTAGAAATGCTTAGCCAGCCAATCCCAGCCTAGCTCACCCTGTACTGTATCACCGTACCGCAGGCCCGGCGGGCCCCGGAGACAATGCAAAAGACATCTAACATTGCAATGCATTACAGATACACAGCCTGGCTCTCCTCTCTCTACATTGCAGCCTAGCATGTGTGCATCAATAATGTAATGAGCCCATCTTCAGCCATAGTAGAATGTCCTGTGCCTACAACATGTCCATGCAGCCCCAATGCAGAGTAATGAGCTCTATATACAGTGGCCACCTTCACCCTAGGGGGGCTTTAATACCCCCCACCCAAAAAAATAAAGATATTTTTACTGATCAGCAAATGCCTTGACCTACCTCCACAATGAAGGTCTTCTCTTCCCCAAATACCGAAACCACAAAGAATTGCAGAAAACAGGTTTTGATGCAAAATCCCAGAAGATCAGCTTTTCGTCTCTTGATGCCAATTACAGCCATCACGGTGGCTCTGCGTGGATAGAGAAGATCGGGCGGCCAGGTGAGGCGCCCATCCCCGGGACAATAGCGGGGAGGGACACCCAGCTCACATTACACGGCGGCTTCGCATAGTACAGAGATGCCTTAGTAACAGGAGCACCGAGGAGAAGAGTCACACCGTGCGGGCCAATGGCAGAGAGGGGCCGAGCCACTGGATGCAGGGAGGAGAGGAGGATGCTGAGGATGCTGGCAGCATCCCTCTGCTGGACCACTCCGCGCACCCGCCGCCGCCGCCTATAGGAGGAAGACAGCCAACCCGCACAGCTAGCCCAGTCCGCCCCGACTGCTCAGGGGGAACAGGGCTGCTTGGCTTTTAAAGGAGAATGCTGCAGGGCTGTCATCCCGATCCTTGGGTGCATGGTAAGTCAATGACATGGAGCAGTCCTGATGCAACCCATACACTATTCCAGGGGTTGGGCAACCTTGGCACTCTAGCTGTGCTGAAACCACAAATACCATCATGCCTCTGCCTCTGGGTTTAATGGCTGTGGTTGTCAGAGTCTTGCAATGCCTCATGGGACTTGTAGTTCTACAACAGCTGGGTGCTCAGGTTGCCTATCCCTGCACTATAGCAGAGTCAATCAAAAAGTAATGCCTCCATGTCTGTAATTTGAGATCTGTTAGAGTGAGTGTACCGCGTGAGGCCCGGTTCACATCGCGGCGATCCGTGCGGTTGCGTGCACGATCACCGCGCGATCCCGTAATCTTGCACAAACGCAAACTAGGCTGGGGGTGCCATGTGTTTCTAATGGCACCCTAAGCATGCTTAGTTATCTGCGCAGTTGCATGGGGCAATCGCACACAATCGCGGCCGCAAAGAAACGCGGGTCGCGTATCGCACAGAAAGGTGCTTGAGCCTTTTTGCCACGCGGATATGATCCCATTGAAATCAACAGGGGCTTCACGGCAAACAAAGATGTGAACGGGGCCTGATGGAAGTGTCCTTACCTAACTAATCTATACTTTTCTTTTTCAGAGTGATTAGAACCATGGGTCTTCGGCTAAAACTATATGAGCTGTAATTGAGTGTCTGGTGAAAGAGGGTGAAAGTGCCCCACTGCCCCACACTGACACTGGCCTATGTGACTCAATGAGTAAAATAACCCAGCTTTCAGCGGCTCTCTGGGAAGGAGAGTTGAAAACATTTTCAGTATATTCTTACCAGGACTAGTTAAAGGTGCTTTAAGTCCATTAGAGCCAAGATTAAAGTATATGTAGACATAATCCATTCCATCCCTTACAAGCTTTCACACGTTACTGTCATTTCAAAAGTCATTTTCATTATTTTTAAATATATAGCTTTCATTAAGTCCTTCTTTCAAGCACTTCCTGTTATAGAGTGACAACGCTCTGTCTCTGTCTCCCAATCGTGCCCATGTGTTGTCACCCTGTTACACTGCCTTCCATTGGAGACTACAAGTAGTGGTTTCAATGCACATTATGCGGGTATGGTTAACTGTTGTCACCATCAGTAAAACCATCCAGAGAATTGGCATGCAACCATCATTGGAGTGCAAGTAGACTGGATGTGTCTGTAAAGATGTTGCAGTAGACCAGCAGCACTGAGATGTAACAAGGATGAAAAAAAAGGTAAAGCAGTATTTCATTTTTTTTTTTTTTAAATCAATTATTTATGGTACATAGTGCTGGAAAAATCTGCTCAGCTTTCCTGGGGATTACCCTTTCGAATTCTGGGGATTCGTCTTAAATGTGACATTTGCAAAATTACAGTAACTCATAGACATGAATTAAATGTTTTAGCCAACATGCACACATGGACACACAGACACACACACACGCACATTACTCTCCTGTATTCAAATCACCAGTGAGATCTGCCCTCTCCTCCTCCAGCACACGCATCTCATTCCCCAGCACTCATGCCACCAGTAAGGTCTGCACTACAGCACACTCACCTTACATCCCAGTAACTATACCAACCGTGAGATCTCCAGTACAACACACACAACTCACTCTCTGGTATCCATGGCAGCAATAAGATCTACAGTACTACAAGACACACACCTCACACTCCGGTATCCACATCACCAATATAATTTGCACTCCAAAATACACACCTCATTCCACAGTGTCCATGTCGCTGGAGAGATCTGCACTCCAGCACACTCACAGCTCACTCCCCAATTTCCATATCATATGGGAGATCTGCACTCCAACGCACACACACACACACACCTCACTCCACAGTGTCCATGTCACTAGAGAGATATGCACTCCAGCACACACTTTACTCCCCAGTATCCATGTCTTTAGGGAGATCTGCACCCCAGCTCACACCTCACTCCCCAGTATCCAAGCCATCAGGGAGATCTGCACTCCAGCACAACACAGCTCACTCCCCAGTACCCATGTCATTAGGGAGATCTGCACTCCAGCTCACACCAAACTCCCCAGTATCCATGTAATCGGGGAGATCTGTACTCCAGCACAAACACAGCTCACTCCACAGTATCCATGTCATTAGGGAGATCTGCACTCCAGCACACACCTCACTCCCCAGTATCCATGTCATCAGTGAGATCTGCACTCCAGCACACACAGTTCACTCCCCAGTCTCCATGTCATTAGGAAGATCTGCACTCCACCACAAACACAGATCACTTCACAGTATCAATGTCACTAGAGAGATCTGCACTCCAGCACACACTTTACTCCCCAGTCTCCATGTCATTAGGGAGATCTGCACTCCAGCACAAACACAGCTCACTCCACAGTATCCATGTCACTAGAGAGATCTGCACTCCAACACACACAGCTCACTCCCCAATTTCCATATCATTAGGGAGATCTGCACTCCAGCTTACAACAAACTCCCCAGTATCCATGCCATCAGGGAGATCTACACTCCAGCTCACACCTCACTCCCCAGTATCCATGTCTTCAGGGAGATCTGCAATCCAGCACACACAGCTCACTCCCCAGTATCCATGTCATCAGGGAGATCTGCTTGGCAGAACACACAATCCACTGCTCAGTATCCATGTATTCAGTTAGATCTGCACTCCAGAACACACCTTACACTCCAATATTCATGACATCAGTGATATTTGTTCTTCAGAACATACAGATCATTCCCCAATATCATAAAATTAGTTAGATCTTCACTCCAACAAACACTGCACTCCCCAGTATCTTTGGCACTAAGATCTGTACTCAAGCACCCACACCTCGCTCCACCCCCGATATCCAGGTCATCAGGGAGATCTGTCCTTCAGCACACAGAGCATACTCCTCAGTATCCCATTAGTGAGATATGCTTTTCAGTAGACACACACATCACTTCCCAATATCCATGGCATCAGTGAGATCTGCACTCAGCACACACCTCACTCCCCAGTATCCATGCCATCAGTGAGGTTTGAACTTCAGCACATACAACATACTCCCTAGTACCCATGTTATCAGTGAGATCTGCACTCCAGCACACACAGCTCTCTCCCGAGGATCCATGTCTTTTATGATAATTGTACACCAGCACACACAGTATCCCAGTATCCATGCTACCAGTTAAAACCTCTATAAGCAATGTTTAAACTTTGACTGCTAATGACGTATCCTATATGCCATGGCAGTCCCTCTCCTAAATAGCCAGTGACATATAGAGTATGTCATGGCAATTAAGGGGTTAAAAGCAGCTTATGGCTGCAATAATATCTCCCTAGCAGTGGAAGGTATTAGACCTCTGGTAGGCTCCCTCTCATTAAACATCTAACATCTCAGCAAAGGAAACCTGTCACCACTGGTGCAGTGAGGATGGAGTAGCCATAACGGAGAACAGGAAAGTTGAAGTTCACATCAAATACTTAATGCCCTTACATACATATAATATACAATTACGCAAAACTGTTACATAAGCATAGATAGTGCCCCTCTACATATTTGTTAACAATTTAAAATTACCTTATGGGAAAGTATTTAGAGAATTTTAGACAATTTATGTCTAAATGTCTGTAAATGTTCTAATGTATCCAGGTCATGGTATATATATATATATGTAAAATAGAAATCAAAGCAACTTGACTTTCTGTATTGTTCTTGAAGGTGTTTCTCTGGTTATCTGACTAGCTTTCTCAATTCAGAATCTATTTTCAAGGTTTGCCTCTATAGACTTTCATGGGGTTCAGATTTAAAGTGGACCTTTAAAGTGGACCTTTACCCCCTTTCACTACATATCATATCATATCAGCATGCAACTCTGCATACTGATATGAAACCATTTTACATTCATTAGTTAATTTAGCAATTCTGAATTGAGAAAGCTAAATTGCTCTTGGAAAGGTACGGCACACCTGATTGCCCTGATCACCATATTTTTGTACATGAATAAGTGTGGATTGTGTGGATAAGACCTACCCCGAAAATAAGACCTAGTGTGTTTTTTTGAGCCAAAAAAAGTATAAGACAGTGTCTTATTTTCGGGAAAACACCGTATATTTATATATATATTACATCCAGCACCTAAACAGCAATTACGTATAGTCCCACATCCAGGTTCATACCTTTAGGACAGGTGAAAAAAATATTTTATTACTTAATTGCTGTGCTGTATGTGTATAGGCCAATGTAGTTGGATCTGTATGTGCGTTATAATGAATCGAGATTAATCGATTAAAAAATATTTCGATTAATCGAACACAAAAATTTTAATCATTACCAGCCCTAGAAAAAAAAAAATTTTTTTAATTAAAATAAGTTCAAATACATTAAAATACATTTATAGATCCAAATTTATACCCAATAGGAATTGACTTTCATTTTCAACACACATTCTCAAAAGGTGCCAAAGCAGCAACAATTGTCTACAATCCGATAGTCCATTCTGTGCTTTTCTTTTTGCTGTTGACCATGAAACCAATCAGAATGTGGTCTGTCAGCAGTAAACCGAACATGACTATGACTTATTGCACTTTGTACATCACCACTGCTCTTAGCGTGACTTATTAAATAAGCCTGATTGTGGATACATATGATGGATCCTCTAAACAATATGTTAATGTTGTTAGCTGCCATTGATTTCCGGTGAGTAACCCATATTTGGAGCCAGCCATCACATTCACTGGCCTCCATCACCAGTG